GTATGCAATGTGTTAATTATTGAAACTGTCCTACCAATTTGATTTGAAACTGTCTCATTGCTATTTGTTTATCAATAAAATTATGGAAAAAAGAAGTCATTGCTTCATTGCTTTCAGCTGTATGATTTCCAATTTGTTCTGTGTTAGTGTCCTCTTCACTTATTATGGGTGGGCTTTGATTCTGAGATTGCATTTTGTTCCTTCTCATTGGCATTTTGTGTAGCACAGTCTTCTGACCTTTGTTGTAGATCTTTTTTGCAGTTATCACCTTAGCACCTACTGAAGTTCAGGTGCAGATCTACAACGTTTGGATTTATCCAGCTGTGCCTGGCTTGGGTCTAGCTGCTGTGCTCAGCTCCTTCTTGTTGCTGCCCTTGTGGGTGAACCTGTTGTGCCCCTCTGGCAAGATGTTCTGCTCCTGGACTAGCTGGATGGTTCTGTCCCCTACACTGTCTGTGGTGATTACAGCTGCAGGGTTTCACCCCAAGCCTGTATGCCAAGCCTGAGCTGAGTCTGGAGGGCATAAGGTGGAGTAGGGGGGAGAGGCAGCTCTCCCACACACTCACCCGGCCTGGACTAGGACCTGATCTGGGGCTTCCTGGAATGTGATAGAAGTTCCTACTCTGTGGGCATGGTGTGAGGTGTATTATGGAATGATGGGGGGCATCCCAAGAGGATGAAAGATGGTGTCTCCCATACTGCGACTGGGCTGGGACCAGTAGGTCATGCCAACACAGGGTTGCCAGAAGCTCTCCCACACACTTACCTGGCGTGGAGTAGGACTGGGTCTGGGGGTTCCCAGAATGTGGCAGAAATTCCTACTGGGAAGGTAGGTGGGGGAGGTGCTGCAGAGTGGTGGCAGGGGGTTCCAAGAGGGTGGAAGAGAGTGTCACTCAAGCTGCGCCTGGGCTGGGACCAGTAGGTCCCGCCTGCGCAGGGTTGTGGGAAGGTCTCCCACACACTCACTGGGCATGGGCTAGGACTGGGTCTCAGAAAGAGAACATTTACTTGGAAAAACTTTGTACAGAAGCTAATTAAGTAGTATGCAAATAACATAATGTAACTGATATTTTTGTAACCACAATGTTATGTACTCTGACTGTTTCACTCTGCCTTAGAGCCAACCGAGTATGGACTGAAAACTCCACAAACTGTGAGCTAACTAAACCTTTTCTTCCTTGATTCTGGACATTAGATATTTTGTCCCAGCAAGAATAGAAAAGTAGTCAAATTAGAATGATATATAGACTATAGGTATACGTACAAATACAGGTATAGATACAGATATAGCTATAGGAAAACAAATAATATAATCACAAAGAACTTAGCATCCATCATTTAGAGGAAATACTTATTCAAAATAAATATAAATGAGATACATGAAATGAAAAATCAACAAGTAGAATTTAAAAACAATTATGTAATAGTAGAAATTACATCTAAAATTAAAAAATAGTATCCATAAATCTAAAGGCATACAATTCTCAAGAGATCTGTCAGAAGAACCAGTTTCATAACATTCTGGTAAAGTGATTGAATTTCAAGAATAAAGAAAGAATTCATCAGGTATCCAAGAACTTAAAAAGGGGATAAATCTGGCCAGGATCAAATGCCTCCATGGAAAAATGGAGTGCCAGAAGATAATAGAACAATATTTACAAAATCCTAAGGGAAAAAGTATGCTTCAATAATATTATAACCAGGCAAGTTGTTATCCATGTACAAAAAGGCAACATTGGTGTATCTCATCACACAGAACCTCAAAAAGTCACTTTTCACCTTGTTTTAGCATAAGATCATGTAAGAAATAAAGGAAGAAATCATTGTAAAACTACTTAATGGTGAACATTAAGTTAAATTTTACTTGAAGTAAGCAGCAACGGATAGTAAGAAGTATTTTCTAAAAGGCAATGTAATGAATCCATCAATATAAGAGTAATATGTTGTACAAAAGCAATTAAACTACTAAACATTAGGTTAGGACACTACATTAGCCAGCTTTTTGATTCTGTAACACAATACCCAATAATCATGACTTAAAGGAAGTGAGGTTTAGTTTCACTGCAGTTTCAGGAGAGTCAGACCACAATTAGACAGTTTCAAGGAGGAAATAACATGGCAAAAGGTCATGGTGAAACAAATGTGGTAAGTTCATGGTGTCCCAGTAGCAAAATAGAGGGAAATTGACAAAGGGGACAGGCCAGGGACCATACCTAGTACTCAAGTTCACATTTCACACTATATCCAAAGACATATAGAAGTGTCCTTTACTAATCCCCTGGACATTCATTGATCCAAATGTATTTCATTAAACCATATTTAATACCCAAATAAACATAATAATAAGCTAATAAATTTCACCTTATGCAGCTACCTTGTATATAAATAAATATAACAGTCCCTTCCCCTAAGTCTTAACAGTTTTACCATTATTTAAAATTTAAGGTCAAAATTTCCTCTGAGACCCAAGGCAAACTCTTAGCTGTTAACCTCATAAAAATATATATAGAATCTCTGCATGAATTGGCAGTGAATAAATACTCTTGTTGTAAAAGGGTGGAATAGCAAAGAACAGGAACAGATCAATCCTAAAACCCAGCAACATAAACACTAGATGCTGTAGCTCCATATCTAGCATGTATGACCCACAGCGATGAGATGTGAGTTCCAAAGGGTTTGGTTGGCCCTACTCCTGAGTCTTGCTCTTGGGCTAGCTCTACTTATGGGCTTTAACTTTCCTCAATAGACCATCCACACTCTTGGCATCTCTGACCTCTTGGAGGTCTTCATTCTACTTTGTTCTTCATTCACACACTGCCCTCTCATTCACACAGTGCCCTCTTTGTTGTCCTTCCAAGCCCTCCTTGAAATTATTGGTAGACACCTCCTTGACCCCCACCCCTGGCACTATCCATGACAATAAAACCAGTACCACATGGAGACTCCAAGCTCCAGGAGCAGTACCAGATCACTTTGGGCAGTGACTATTGTGGCCTTGTAGAGCCTGAATGACTGAATGCTGTGAAACCTATACTGCAAATCTCAAGAAGACCATTCTTGAGAAAGGGTATCAAGGACTCAGTTCAGATGAAAGGGTGGCACTCATCCACTTGAGCCTGGTTAGGGTCTTGTTCATTTCTGAGACAGCATTAAGACATCTTTTTTTTTCTCTCCCTCTACGAAATTCTTAATGTCTTTTCTAAAACAGTACTAATTACTTCAACAGGCATACCTCCTATGGTTCAAAATTTTGGTTTAATTAGTCCACTCCTCTTCAGAACATGGGGCAAAATATGCAAAACTTTTTGCCAGAATATAATACACATGATCTTCTAAAAATTTATTTATTTATTTATTTATTTATTTATTTATTTTATTTGTTTGTTTGTTTGCTTATTTGTTTTTGGTGGAACAAGGGATTGAACTCAGGCCCTTGCACTTGTGAGGCAAGTACTTGTTCTACTGAGCCACATGGTCTGTCTACAAAGCTTGGACTCATACTCAGCTTCCCTGGTGGTGGGATTGCAGGCCCATACCACCATGCCTTTTTTTAGTGATGGGCATAGCACACCCAAGGTTTTGGAGCTAACATGGCATGTGGTATTAGCCATCAAATTCAGATTCTTGTGCTTTTCAGGCAGGAGCTTAGACTGTTATGCTAGCCCCCCAATCCCAGAATGTAATGCATATGATCTTTAGTCCAACAACAAATGGATTCCTTGTTCCAAAATGAAGTCTCTAGGGCTTGGCCTTTAAAGGCTGCATTTCAATAAACTTTCTCATTTTCTGTACTTTGAATGAAATCACTTTTCCAGCAGTGTTTTTCATTCAAGGGCTTTTCTAAATGTATCTCCTAACTTTTCCGTATGTATCTTACAAATCAGTTTCTAAGATTCTAAACCACATGGTCAGGTAGATCCTATTCCTGGCTCTACCCTATTCCTAATAAAGACCCTATTCCTGGTACCAATTTTTTGTGTTAGATAACTTTATTGTTCTGGGAAACAATACCTGATATCAACACTTAACAGAGGAGAGATTTAGTTTGGCTTGTGATTTCAGGAGATACAGTCCATGACTAGCTGGTTCCAAGCCAAAAGCATGGTGGCAGGTGGTGGAACAAAGCTACTTAGCTGATGGTGGCTGGAAAGCAGAGTGGGGGAAGAGTGGGATTCAGGGTAGTGGAGAAAACCAGAGATAGACATTTTATAATGCTACAAAAGTCAGGCTGTCTCCTGGCCACTGCTGCCTAGTTTGATCCAGAAAGCAGAGCCCATGTTTCTCAGACAGAAAAATGGGAATATGAGATTGCTTAAACAAAGCAGTGAAGTTCAGGATGCTGTGGTTTGATCCTCAGATCCTCAAGCCTTGCCAGACTTTCCCTGAAGGCATTCTGAGCCAGCCAAAACAACAACAACAAAAATTCCTTCCGAACTTTTGAGCCAGGGAGATGGCTCAGTGGAATAAGTGATTTCCTGGCAAGAACAAGGGCCTGAGTTCAATCCCTGGTTCCACAAAC